CAAATTTGAATTTGTTTGCATCTCATGTCAAGCGATTTTATTGGAATTTATTGCTATTTTATTACCTTATTGAAAACAGTGGATCCTATAAACGATTTCTTGTGGAGTTGGTGTAAAAGGTGCGTTGAGAACTCGACGAGCGAAGCGTTTTTACCACTGGCCTTATAAAATTTAAAAAAAAAATTGTCTGGTTATTTAGTTCAACCACCAAAATAGGTGATCCAAATGTTAACCTATTCAAAATTCCAAACTGTCAGCAAGGTTCGAATTTATTTTTTTAAAATAATCTACAAATTATATACATTGAGAACAAGGAGGCAAAGAGAAAAAAAATCTGTTTTAAAAGTTGTCACTAGCCATTTAAAATGAGACGGTTGAGCCAAAAAATAATTGTATTTTCTCTTTGGACGAATATTCTTGCATTTGACACAGTTACCGTAGAGTGAGTTGTGCTAGGTCAGGTTAGGAGTTACGGGAGAGTGAGATGTGTTAGTTCAGGCTAAGTTAGGTAGGTCTATAGTTAGGTAAGGGTTAAGGATGAGTAGGTTTTTTTCGGCTGGATATACATTTTTGCGTGACGATTTTCATAGGATGGGTTAGGTTAGGTAGGGTTATAGCTAGGGTAAGGGATGGGTTAGGTTAGATTAGGAATGGCTAGTTCAGTTACGGTTACGGATGAGTTAGGGTAGGGAAGGTGAGTTTAGTAAGAGCTAGAGTTAGAGATGGGTTAGGTTTGTAAGGTTATAGTTAGCGTTACGAATGGTTGGTTTAGGTAGTGCATCCACTTCAAACCATAAACCCATCCTTTACCCTGCCTAAACTAACCATCCGTAATCTAACCTAACTTTAACCTAATGTATCCCTTATCCTAACTACAACACTACCTAACCTAACCTGATTTGCGTTGGGTTTCCAAAAAAATGTATCCTCAGCCCAAAAAATTTAACTTTTAGATAAGAACTTTGGAAACTCGTACAAGTTTATCTTTTAAGTGATTTTTTATTTTCTTAACGAATAACAAACAAACACAAATGAATCAATCTCATAGGGTTTGCAATGCTCTTTTTATTGGTGTAGTCAAATTTACAGTTGGATTGACATTTTATGAGATATGGCGGACTACATGGAATAAAGTAATGAAGAGTTGAAGTAACCTGAAAAGAGTAGATATGTCGGGTACAATTGAGAATCAGACTTTGGACAATGGGGATTTTTAGTTCAATTTGACATGTAGGATCACCTGAAATATTGACATCTGTTCACTGGACACCATGTGGACATATGTTGAAACATATAAATTTAAACAAAATATCTAAATAAAGGTGACTTTTATATCTACATAAAATATACATTTTCTTTTTAATTTTTAAAACAACAGGTAACAACTAACCATCCTTAACCTCCCTACCTAAACTAAACGTTCCAATAGCCCTTAGAAGAACATTATAGTGTTATAGTTAGGGCGAGGGTGGGTTAGGTTAGATTAGAAATGGTTAGTTTAGTTAGGATTACGGTTAGAGATGGATTAGGTGCGGTTAGGAATGGCATTTAAGTTATAGTTACAGTTAGGGGTGGAATGGTAGTTTAGTAAGGGCTAGGGCTAGCGATGGGTTAGGTTGGGTAATGTTATAGTTAGGATTAGGAGTGGTTAGTAGAGGTAGGGTTAGAGTTGGGTATGTTTTTGTACATTTTTTGTTTGTCCATTTTCACTTTACTTGAGAGTGGGTTGGGTTAGGTTAGGTAAGGTTAGAGTTAGGGTAAGAGACAAATGAAATTTTCTTTTCTTTGAAAATATGCGAGTACGAGCGGTTAGATTAAGTTAGGTAAGGTTATAATTAGGATTAGGGATGTGCCTAAGGGTTTCTTGAAGCATTCTTTAAATATGTCTATCCTTGGTATGAAAACGCACTAAACATGGTTTTGCCCTCGCTAAAAGGTACTACATATAGGTAGTCAAGTTTCGATGTTGACTATTAATCAGAGGTGTGAAATGAACCTTCCATTATTCAATAGATTGTTGACTAGCCTTGTTACTATGATTACTGTTATTAGCGAAGAAAACTACTGTCACTTATTCTTGTAGTAAATTATGTAAAGGAAAAGTAGACATTGAAATAATGATTGTTATACGTGGCCTATACCCTGCATTTCAAACGCCTTTTTTTCTCAATAGATTGTCAGCAACCGTACCTACCAAATATGACCGGCAAACTATACACGTATCACCTAAAAATGTACTGGGTTTTTCCTTCACATTTTGTTTTCATTTAATTGTCACCTGCAGAGAGAACCCTGTTGACTGTGGCTTCTAATAGCTGTATGCTTTATTAGCCATAACTCGTCGAAGAACTTTTGCTCCTTGCTTAAATAAAGCCCTAATCCTAGGGGCATGTTCATTGGCTGCTATTTGCAAGATTTTAGAAGTAGTGGTGACATCGGTGGAAACTTTATTAAGCCACAAGCAGTGACCACGGCTGTGAGTACTCGTCGAAGAGTCTGGTTTAAACCTAATCCTACATAACCTAATCATTTGTAGGACTTATTGGGAAAAATAAAGTTGACATCCAATTACCTTATTATTAAAAAAAAAAAAAAAACTATGGTGGGAGAAATATTGAATTAACCCTTACCATAATTCTACATAATCCAACCTAACCTAAATTGTCCCTAACCTTACTTAACCTGACCTATTCCATCCCTAACCATTACTCTACATAACCTAACCTAGCCTAATCATACATAATATAACCAAACTTAATCTATTTTCCAGTAATGTGAATATATTCAAATAATATTCAAAAAAGGGTGTATCCAGCGCATAAAACACATCCGTCCCTAACCCTAACTTTACTAACCTAACATAGCCTAACTCTACATAACCTATCCTGACCCAACTCACTCTACGGTAACGCGAAAATCGTTGAAATACTTTTAAAGTACATAACCAATTAAAATTGTTTAGTACAACGAACCAATTTTCTTTTTAAGTTCATTTTCCCACAAAGGACCCATTCTTGGTACCATCCTTTATATCGTTTATATTGCTGACCTACCTATACATCCTAATACCGTCATCACCACCTACGCGAACGATAACACAATTTTGTCCTCTACCTTGAATTTTACCAAGACGAAGACTGATGCAGAAAGTGGAGGACAAGGCTGAATGAAGAAAATGTACTCAGTGTACGTTCACATTGTGAAAACAGTCTTGGCCTCCATTGTACATCAACAACAAAGCGATACCGACTTCCATTCAAGTCAAATACTTAGGACTGTACTTAGACAGCAGACTGTTATGGAATCCCAAGAAAAGACCTAAGAGACAACAACTCAACAGAAGATTTAGACAACCACGAAGACTTCTAGGACTAATATGACTAGACCGGCGAAACTAAACTAACCTTAGACAAGACTTTACGTTGGACGGAGTGGAACTGTGGGTTGTTGGGTGTTTCTGGGGTCTGGGTCGTTCTTTTTCTTTTCTCTTTGAAGGTTTTCTCCCAGATTTCTATCTCGTAGCTCCTGTTTTGTTCTTTTCTCTTTGAAGCTTTTCTCCCAGATTTCTATCTCGTAGCTCCTGTTTTGTGTTTTTTTGGCAGTCTTTTTTTTTAAATGTCTTCCAATCTTCTCGACCACGAACGGAACTTAATTGTTGTTTGTAGGGGTACTGACGTTTCCTCTTAAGCTCCTTAAGATTTAAGTTTTTGATAAAATTAACCTCACGCGTTTGGACCATGTAATTAGATTAAATGTCATCAGAGAAGAGTTGAACTACTTTGTAAACCATTTTTTTCTATAACACTTTCTTTGGGGGCTGAGTCTTCAGGATGAACCCAAAGACTTAACTGACTGTAAACTTAGGTAAATATGCTATAGGTTTTCAGTCTGAAAACATAGCGATTGAACACTGCGCCAGGGAAATAAAAACACTAGGAATACATTCCCGGAAGATAGCCAGCCATCATCTCTGACAATTAGGCAGCCTAATGTTTAGTGTTGCGAACTGCATGGAGGCCCTGGCGGAAGTCGGCGATATTCGGGGCATAGAGGCATTGAAAAAGTTGACCTTTGACCAAAGAGGGACTCTCTAGGACCCGAACCCTACTGTGGCCCAGTATCTTGCAACAAAAGAGGATACATTATAAAATGAATCCTTAGTGAGCCCTAAACTGGGTGGAACAATACCCCAGGCATGCGAAGAGATTCGTAGAAGGGCCATTCGTAAGTCTTAAAAAGGAATTACTGTTCGGTAACCGCAACAGAAGCAGCATTCTGGGTGGTCTGCTTGCTTGCTGGTAATGTTTCTTAAGAACTGGAGTACTGGCAGAAGAAAAACGGTGGAAAAAGAGTCAGCAGAACACATTCGATGTTTTTGTAAGGATCTATGAGAGGAAAAGCAGTAAGCAAGATGCTACACTAAGAAGCCGCTGGCAAGCCTTCATTAACTACATGAAGCTGGTCAGTGTGTTATAAAAAAACAAAAACAGAGGAGCACAATAGATCTAGTCAGGTGCAGAAAGCCTTGTGGCCGCCTCTTTTTTCGCTATCCTATCCCTAACCCTTCCTTTCGAGACAAATAAGCATCGCATTGAAATAGAGTTGGTATTTTGAATAAAGCAAATGGCAATCTGTTTGGTGCTTTTCTATGTAAGGCTTCAGTTCTTTTTTAATTTTAATTAAATCTGATGAATATTCAGTTAATTTTATAGGGAAACATGTTATTTAACCAGCTAATAACCGGAATCGCAATTAGTTTAATCCAAGCTCTTTTACCTTTTAATAAGGTAATAATGATAATAACCGAGGCATTACAATGTCGTTGGAAAAGTGCCTAAAACGGGCAAAGTGTAAATAGGCGACATAGAAAACATGTAGGTCGTTGATAGAGGTTAAGGACGGATCGGGCATAGCATAAATTGGGGAAGATATAGAAATGTATGTAAAATAGTGTAGTGGGGTAGGTCGCGAGTGGGGGGTCGAGGCACGATCGCGGATCACCCGTCGAAATCCGCACAGTCGAGGCTCGAACGGAGCTGAGGAAGAAGCCGAGTGTGTTGCACGCCGTGTCCCCTCTCACAAGACGCGCGTCCATTCCAGAACAGAATACGAATATAAATTTTTTTTTACGATGTCAATCCTCGGGTTCGCCGTACTAGCCGTTGTGTTGATCAGCGAAAAGACTAACGGTTTCTTAATGATGGACGGGATCATCAGGCCGGCGATAATATCGTATTCGTTAGTGGAGGACGAGGAAAAAGTGAAAATCGAGAGGCGTGAAAATGGAAGATTCGGCGAGAGTTACATCGGCTCCTTTTACGGAAATCTTCAACATATAAACGGCACGGAACAAGACGACACCGGCTGCGAGCTTCCCTGGTTCGAGGACCGTCCTCCGGCAAAACCGTGGGTCGCGCTCGTCAGGAAAGGAGCATGTCCCTATCAAAAACAAATCGAACTTGCCGCACAGCACGAAGCCAGTGGTATTATCATTTACGATGACAAGAACTCGACACATCTTCCAAAAGTCAACATCATCAAGAAAAACGAAGGTACGTTGTAGTTTCGTGCTGAAGACGAAGGATTTGGCATAGAAAGTCAATCAACACGTCTTTCAAGTTATTAAAAACCAAGAATCTTTCTAAGATTTGGACTTAGGACTGTTTTACAAAACAGTCCATTGAAAGTAAATTAACTTTTTTCCAAGTTTCAATGAGTACAACAAAGCTGGTAAAAAATCAAGTATGGACGTTCACCAAATTGTACCGGTTTCGTGCAGAAGACGAAGGATTTAGCATAGAAAGTCAGTCAAAAAGTCTTCAAGTTATTAAAACTAAGACACTTACTAGGATTTCGACTTAGCTCTGCTTTACCAAAAAAAAAAAAAAAATCCATTGAAAATACATTTACTTTTATCTTAAGTTGCAATGAGCACAACAAAACTGGTAGAAAACACAAGTGTGGACGTTAAACAAATTATACAGGTTTCATGCGGAAGACAAAGGATTTGGCATAGAAAGTCGGTCAAAAAGTATTTCAAGTTATTAAAAACCAAGAAACTAACTAAGATTTGGACTTAGTTCTGTTTTATAAAAAAATCCATAGAAAGTAAATTTTTAAAGAAAAATATAAGACATTGCTAAGTAATAAATTAAACTGGGTAAAACAATTTTACCTAAAATGTGCCTATGGAGACAATGAAGAAAATATTCAGTTCAGTGTGAAGTAATTTCTCCTTTTGTGTTGACCACCGCTTACATTTGACGTGGTACCGATTTGATGAGGTTTTGAATGTTATGCTGTGGTTTATTTTCATACTCTTCCAACAGCGCCATTCTTAATCCCTGCAAATGCTCTGGCATCACTGGACGACCTTTAACCCTCTTTGATAACTCGTCCCAAAGTCGGGACTAAAAGCTGGCCACTGCAAGCATTGAATTGAAGCCCGTTAAGTAGTCACCAATTATCGTAGATGTGTGGGGTTGGCATTGCCATGCACCAAAATAAAACTGTCGACAATTTGGAGGATTGTCTAAGAAATAATTAAAAATATTAAGGGTGATCATTTTTTGCCTCTCAAGGTAGTTTTTTTTTTTCAATCGTCTCTTATTGAAAAATCGAATTTTTATTAATCAACCGTTAATTTTACATTGGTGATAAACTGATAACTGACCCTTGAGAAACGTTGTGAACCTAGTCTAACTTAACCTTACCCTTCCCAAACATTACCTAACCTGACCGATTACGTCCCTAATTCTAACTATACATAACCTAACCTAACCCAACCCACTCTCCGGTACCGCAAAAATGGTCACCCAAACAAATATGTATTACGCCAAATAAACATACCATCACCATTAAATTTTAATTAGCTTAAAATTTATACAAGAATTTTGGAAACTCGTAAAAGTTTATCTTTCAAGTGATTTTTTGTTTGTTTAAAGTTACTATAAAAAATGAATCTCATAGGTTTTTCAATGCTTTTTCGATTGGTTTAGTCAAATTTACGATAGGATTATCATTTTATGAGATAAGGCGGGCTTTATGCAATAAAGTGAAGAAATTTGAAATGAAAAGTGTGAATATCTTGGTTACAATTGAGAATCGGACTTTGGACGATAGGGACTTTTTAGTTCAATTTGTCATGTACGAAAACCTCCTGATGTAATGACGTCTATTCATTGGATACCCCAGAATGTAACTGTCTAGTATAGGATGAAAAGATTAAGAATATCTGATTGGATTCAGTGGTCAGAAATAAAGGAAACCTTTGAATTTTTGAGTAGGAACAATTTTATTTTAATTTTGAAGTAGAGTTTCAAGTGCCTTAGACTAAAGAGTCACACATGCCTTGCGATTCATTACGAGTGTAAACGTCAGTGGTTGGTTTTGCGCAGAGCGGAAACGGAAGAAAAATGAAGGGCATTTGAACCTGATTTATATTCCAATGGCTTATTTTTTAAGTTCCTGTTGTGGGCTTTCTCGATTATACCTCGCTCGGTCTTCAAGGCTGGGCACGAGAAAAAGCCAAATGGATTTAAGAAGACCGTTACCGAGTTTGAATCAGGCCCAAAAACAAGAGTCAAAACTTCGGTTTATAATTTCACAAAGTGTTCATGCCAGTTTGAAGATTTTGAATTAATAAAATTTGAATTGGAGAAATTGTTCAATTTTGTTCTGCCGCTGGACGACGATAATTTAGAAATAGATTCGAGAAGAGGTTGTTGACACGGTGGTGGACATTCTGAAAATACACGGACGAAACTTCATTGTATTCGCAGCAGACGTGCTTTGTGTAAAACGCGTCAAAAGTTGATTTACTCTTAAACTATTTCCGCATGTTTGCGCTTCTGGGCTTTGTCTTAGGCGTATTTTTAAACCCTTGCAACTAGCGATGAACTTTGAGGAGACATGGAATTTTCGAAAATGTTGTTGATTGATCAATTAAACAGTTAGCAGTGAAAATGCTTTTTGTTGTTGTAAGCCGTTGAGCACAACGAAACAGATAGTCACTGTGTATTATTTGGTCGAGGTACTTTTGAATTCGCCTACATTACGAGATTGTTGGATCCATATAATCCTGCTCTGCCTGCCCTCGCTGGGTTGGTCTGTCACACCCTCTCGCCATCTTCAGTGTTTCTTCTGGGTAGCTGGAGGTATAAAGAGCGATGAACCTGTAATTTGATCCTAACGGACCATCTTGGCCTGCCTATCCTCGCGGGCTTGGTCCGTCAGATGCTCTCGCCATCTTCAGTGTGTCTTCTGGCTAGCTGGAGGTATAAAGAGGGATGAACCTGTACTTTGATCCTAACCGATCATCATGGCATGACTATCCTCGCCTGGTTAGTCTGTCAAACCCTCTCGCCATCTTCAGTGTGTATTCTGGTAAGCAGTAGTATAAAGAGCGATGAACCTGTAATTTGTACATTGTTCCTTTTTATACGCTGGTTACTGACCGATTGGAAACTTAGGTACTGTAATAGTAACTAGCAGTGTAGCCAACCTGTGGTGGTAGCAATGTTACTAACTTACATATTCACTCATATCGATCTGTGAGATTTCTCTTTGTGTTATTAATTTTTGATCCAGAAATGTTTAAAATATAAGCCAACGTTTTTAAAATTAATCAATGCATGACGTTAATTGGATTTTTTTGTCATATTTTTGTATTCAAAGGAAACGATGAAGTTGTGAGAAGCTCTGGCCTGCTGTGGCTGATTGTGGGTGTTTCACACGTTTCATACGTCCCTTACTTAGTGAAGCCTTGTTAAAATGTTAATTGAATTGTGAAGGAACACACATGGGATAAACTCCAACATTTTTAAGTTCATTGATCTAACTTTTATCGTTCGACTGTTATTCTATGCACCCAATTAAGTCACGTAAAACGGAGTACACCTATTCCCAGAAATAGCCTCCATCGACTAATAAAGTAACGTTTTATTATAGTAAAAAGAAGTTTTAAAAACTTAATAGAGTAAACAAAGAAGAAAAAATGATGTCGCAAAAGGAAAAGTGGAAAGTATAATTTGTAAGACCAAAAACGAGGAATTGGCCGAACCGGTTTTCTCGCTAATAAAATACCAAACCTGACACGTCAAGGGGATCGTCTCGGTTGCTAAAATTGTTAAAATTTATACACGGGAATCGGAAGTGAAGAGTCAAATCTGAAACACGAGTATACGATCATTATCAAGCGGATTGTTTGTACTTCAACGTACTACGCTAGGTTGGTTTGGGTTAGGTTAGTTTAGGTAGGGTTAGGGACGAGTTAGATTTGGTTGGAATTATATTATATTGAATTGCTGTACTAGAAATTATTCAATTTGCCACGCAGTAGGAGTCGAGCAGAGAAATGAGCTTGGATTCACTAAGCTCGAAGTACCCAGGGACTCGGCAAGAGATTACAGAGAGAGCACGGGATAATTTCTCGCTCCATCCACGGGGTTAAGATATAAAAGTTCCCCTGTCAATTTGAACAGCATTGAGAATTTCTTGTCTCTTTAAGAGCCCAACTACTGGGCGATTCATTATCCTCTTTCTTGATTGAATGTTTAGTTTCTTATAAAACAAGAACGTGGACGACGGATATGGCATTAGTCGCAGCCTCTTCTATAAATGTCCCTTCCAATGATGCAAGTCTGAAAAGTCCAGATTGACGATATTTTGAACCATGAAGTTCTCCTATTGATTACTTCAATTGCTAATCGGAAGTGGAAATGATGGTAAATTTAAAACTTTGAGGCAGTACATGAAATGCAATTTTAATGTGAAACCTCCTGCACTCACTCTACCTCAATTGGGAGTGTTTGTTGGTAAAGCAAGCAATCTCTTTATGAAAAATCGTAATAATTTTTCTATACTCTCAAATCTCTGAAATCCCCAAGTCTGTGAAGTAAGAAGTAGATCTAGCCATAGAGTTCAAAAGCTTATTTTTTTAGAAAGAGGGATCCTGTTCTTCGCAAGGAAACCCTACCGAACATTAGTTAGGGCCATCTTCGCAGAAGAGACTTTCTCTTTTATGTGTGACACAAAACAGATTTGATGGGGCAACACCACACAAACAACACCCAAATACTTATATCTATTGACATTTGAGATCTTCCGTACCACCTTGAGGACAGTTAAAACGCCACAATTTTAGATCACAAGCGTAGAGTGAATCCCTATTGGACGCAGTAATTTTTCAAAATATTTATATTTGATTGAAGTCCATGGGGGTTTCATCCATAGTAACGACGGTATAAATTAACCAACTGACTTTCATATCGGCAGCTTTTCCCGTAGCCCTAGGTAGATCGTCCAAAAAAATGGAAATGAAAAGTGGGATTAACACACCCGTCTATCTCCAGAATCAACAAAAAAAATTCTGAAAACCCTCTTTACCTCTCACTGCTGAATTAGTTTTTCTATACTGGGACTGAATCATGGCCACAAACTTGGACGATAGACCTAGATTAAGTAGTAACCGCGTCTAAACCCTGCTTGAAAGTCGCTAAGTAAATTGTTTTCTGTAAACTGTTTTCTAAATTCTAATTTTCGAAGAAGTAGGCCCGTAAATATTTTAGCAATAGAGTCAATACATGAAATGCCTCTATTGCTAAACACCACACTGGCTTCTTCTTGTTTAAATAGGGGGGAATCAATGGATAAACCATTGAAAGAACTGGAGGTTAACCCAGCATCATAAATAAAATTATAAAATATCAATAACGTTTCAAACAAAATATTAGGAGAGTATCTAAAAAATTCAATCGGGATGCGGTCGATACCAGGCGCCTTGTTATTTTTCAAATTGCTGAGCACTGACAACAATTCATCTAGAGTGAAGAGAGAATCAAGAACAGAAATTAGCTATAGATGGTTGAGCATACTGTAACTTTTTTTACGAGGGTTCGCAACAACAGATGTCATATCAACCCTCGGGGTGCCGGTATTTCTGAAATAAGTCCATTTTTAAGTATGTCGGAATTTTACCTTACAATGATGAGCGCTGTGTATCGTTGCGGCTACCGACGCCCCCAAAATGTAACTTTAACAGCTTAATAGGGGGATTTAATAGATTATTGGAGTGAATGACCCAATCAGACAGAGAAATTTCATTTCCACAAACAAAGCTTTTATCCTTGAAATGATTAAATATTTGCCATAATTCTTTGGAATTCCTAACTTGGCGGCCCTTGTTCATTAAGGTATCCAAATAATCCATTTTCTTTCTCTTACGGATAAATTTGCATTCCCTGTTGGCATCGAGATAAGAATTTCTTACAATCCGAGAATTAAAGCTTTTAAACAGTTTTAATAAATTGAATGATTTATTTCTGGCATGAAGACAAGCTCCGTCTTCGTATCAAGGATTCCTTTTTTCCTCTAATATAAGAAGGGTTCTGAACCCGACCTGGGCAGGATAAAGTTATAGATTCTGTTAATAAGTTAAGCCATTCTTGAATATCGAAAGGAAAAGAGGGAACGCATCGTATTCAGCCAATTTTAATCTGTAAACATACGCCCATTCGTTGGACCAATGTAGCCGAGGTAGTAATGGTAAGGCACATTCCACTTTATTCACATCGAAATTCAACTCAATATACGGAGGCTAGTGGTCAGCATATAAATATACAGCATCCCCGGTTTGTCTATCATCGCTGTTTTCAATACTTCAGACGGCTTTCACCAAGTAGTGGGCCATGTAAGTAGCGTGAGTACAAGTCTTGCGCGTCGTTCAAATATAAGCAAGGATTCGACTTGCTTCACCGTACTTATAAACCAGACCCATCGAAAAAAAGGCATGGTACAGATCGTCTTTGACTTTATCATGCAAGACTCAGACTCCTTCTTTTAAAGTGCGGTCTTTTCCCCGCCCTACTTACATCCCCGATATAACTCTGCAAATGGCTAAATGCGTCTAATAAGATTACAGGCAGATATTTCGGCCTTTGCCATCTACAGCTTTGTTTTATTCTTTGGTTGTGTTCATAAGTGTCATCAGATGTTCTTTGCATTTTTTTTATATTTTCTAAGATTCTGTATACAGTTTTTATCTAGTGGGTCAGTGCTTATCTGAGTTAGGTTGGGCTGGGTTAGGTTAGGTAGCATCGTGGTAATTAATAATAATATTAATAATTTCAATCTTGGAGAGCAAACATTTCATGTTGTTTTATAATTGTATAAATGAAACCAATATATTAGGTTATTTAAGGTTAGGGACGGATCAGGACACTTTATTACCACACAGCTGTATGCCAAACATTTTATTTAACGTAGTTTTTTTTACTATTTCATGTTAAAATCTAATTCTTTCATAAAGTTATTAACTACATTCAAAACATTCTTTATAATATCAATTTTGGCAACTGGCCAGATTAGATTAGGATTAGATTAAGGGATAGAGACATGTTGATGAGGTAAGGTTAGGTTATGTAGGCTAGATATTACGCTATATATTATATGTGTATCCAATATGTATATTTAACTTCTTTTGGTTTTAATACATTCTTTCGAAATCTAATTATTTTATAAATGTATTAAATACAGTCACAAAATTCTTCATAATTTCAATTTTGACAACTGACCGGGCTTTTGCTAGAATTTTCCTCCTGAAAAATGGTTAAGTGTTACATTTTTGGTGTTGTGTTATTTTTTTATATGTTGTTTTTGTTTGTACTTAGTTTTTGTTTTGACTCTGTATAATGCTTTCTTTCAAATGGTGTAAACGCGTGCAAGTTGGATGGTTCGAATTTTCCTCTGTAGCGTGTTATTGTACATATAACATATGTAGTTTTGGCTAGTGGGTCTATCTTGTTGATGTTTTGTCTCAGAAGTTTTTCTACTTTTTCGAACATTTTTAGTGCAGTATTTAGACTTAACTTGTGAAATAGATAGGCTAGTTTGTATATTTTCTTTTCTTATGAATGTTATGATCAGTTTTACGTCTTGTTAGGGATGGTTACGGTTCCTTCAACCGGATGATGAGCTAAGGGCTCGAAATCCGGATCGTTGCAAAACAACTTACTGTGAGTAGGAACTACCTTTTTTTTTTTTTTACTTGGTCAACGGTAGGCGATAAAGGGTTTTTTATTTTAAAACGTAAAGGTTTTTAATTTTTTTTTTTTTTTTTTTTTTAAAAAGGATTCAGTTTTACGTCTGTTATTTATTTTTTAGGAGTCATTTTATTTTAATATAAACCAATTTTACCTTGGTCGCTTAATTGGCCTTTGTTATTTGAATTCCCTCATATTCTATGTTAAGTTATCTCAGACTGCTAAAAAATTTTATAGAATTTTATAGGGTTTGTAAAGTTACAGCAAAAAAAGAAGATATTAGCACTTGCGTGTACGTTATTCTATCGACGTCGGCCGATGTGTTTAACATTCGGCGTGTTGCGTTCGTCCAAATATTGTCTCATTATTCAAAATTCACTTCTTCTCACTTTTCACACGTCTGTGTTTTTCTTCCTCATTTTTGTTCATTCTGAAATATTGCCCATTAACGTGAACTCACTTGTATGCCGAGGTTAGCTTTTAAATCTCTACAAAATTATTTTCAGTTGGGAATGGGAAATTATCCACCACAGTACTTTGTTATTTAAGCATCACAAATATAAATTTGTTTAGGCATTTTTCTTTGTCTAATATTTTAAACGCCTTTTGGCCCAAACAATGGTAAACGAAATACTGACATGTAAAGATTAGGTAATTAGCTACAATTTGATTTGTGAACACATGTTTTGTCATATTTTCCTTGGGTCTTACGGGGACGAGCAAGTTGGTGTGTCACGGGTTTGGACCAAACTTTTTTTGGTGATTTTACACTCCAAAATATCGGACACATATACGTCACTTCTTGTAAATTGGCCCTAGTTTTTCCACCAGAATATATCATTTTGTATACGTGTCTGATATTTTGGAGTCACCAATAAAGTATGGTACAAATTCGTAACATGGTCGTTCCCTTGATAGTTCACTGACACCGAGCTACATCAATTAGTGACATCAAAGTTATTAGATAACTAATGTTACGTTAGGTTAGAAATGGTTAGGTTAGATTAGGTAGGTATAAGGTTTGGGTTAAGGTTGGTTGTACGGACAGGTTAGGTTAGATTTCAAATTTTATTAATGAAGCAAAAGGTAGGGTTAGGTCGCTATTATCACCCGGCTATATATCACACTCTATTTAACTTTGTTTTTACACGGTTCTGTCAAAATATAATTATTTAATAGAGTTAAAGTTCCTAACGAGTTGTACCCTCCCAACCTCAGGTAACGGCACTGTAAGACAACCAGAGATTTGTCGTCTAGACACCGGGCATGTGCCACCTAAGGCAAGAACCATGAATCCATGTAATGTCCAACAACACTGCGATAAACCAATGGCTCGGAATACAAGGAACTGCTTCTCGCTCGAAGTTAGATGAAGCCACGGGGCCGCCTCCCATTGGCGATTTACAGCATCGGATGCCATATTTAGCACGAAACATTTTTCACCGTGCGGTGGCCCCGACCTGATGCGTAGAGAAACCGTCCGACAAAAGTAATTATCATGCAAGTTAACAGTCATCTCGACAGCCGTAGAAACAAAATCTAGTAAAAATATACCATCCATTGTTACCGTGGGGCATAGGTCCTCAAGTAGGACATAATAGGCAAGACCTAGTCTTTCCAAGTAACTACCTTACCCGTTCGAGCAAATTTCTGTAAGGTCACCTCGTCAGGTTGCGCCTCACATTCGCAGGCCGATCCTGTTTACCCTTAATTAGATCATTATCTACAGTGATGGTTTCATATTCGACAGGAAGCCAACTACCAACACGATTCTGAGGGTGTACCTTTACGGAGCAAAAGTTCAACCCCCCCGGTTATGCGAATTCTCCTATAGAGGATCGACCTGCTACTACTAAACAGTTGATTTTCCCTTTTGTAATTCAGCCCTAAAAAGAAGGTCATGTGAAGGCAGGGGCACCGTGATGTAGTGAGCAGTTATCATGGCACTTCTCTCTAAGGCGCTCTGGAACAGAGTTGGTGCAACCGGTTTCAGTGGGTGAAACTCCATTTTCGAAAGAATGTGCCCTTTTTCAGGGGGGAGGGTATTAAATCATACTTAAAATTGAAACATCGTTCCCTTTTTTTGCCGAAAATTTTAATTCAAATTAAATAGTCCGTTGTTATTGTTTCAGGGGAAACACAGTCGTCGAACTGGAGCAAGCTATTTCTTCGTACATCTCCTCAAGGTATTTATTAACTTTACATGATACACAATATATTACTTAGTAAAATAATGGTTACCAGACTTAAGGATTTTTTTTAGCCTTCTGCTGTTAGTAAATGTTATTCCCGGAGTTTTTATCGTTTTCTTCTAAAAATTGTTTGTATATTTTTGTATTTGGTAGTTAATCAGAAGGCTATATACCGAGTTGGGCGAGTCGACACGTCGTAAGCGGAGAGTGCAGCAATTTCTGCCTCGTCATCAACAATATAAAGAGGCCTTGCGTTGTCATCGAGGAAAACATGTATATTTCATATTCAGGAACGGTCCCTCGGTAGTTACACCCAGCACATATATTTGACGGCATGTGCGTTTCGTTTCTCAGAGAGGACGGATGATATGAATCAATGGAGGAAATCCTACTTTCCTTTGTTTACTTTTTAAGAGCCAGTACCAGAGGATTGTGGAAAGCGAAAATCAGACTATTACATTTTTAGGTTAAAGGATGGGTTAGGTTAGGAATGGTTAGTTAGGAAGGGGATCTAGTTAGTGTTATATTGGATAGGTTAGAATAGATAGATTTATTGTTGTACTTATGGGCTAGGCAATAAGTTTTTGCAGTTCGCAAAAACAGCTACAAGAACTCATTCAAGAAGATTCACAAACGATTACTCTTTCACGCAAACCCTTTTGTCAGTAACCTTCATCTCGCACCCTTCCACCTATATTATTGAAGGCTCACTAGGCTCGCGACCTCTCACGTGACAGCGAGGGTGACTAACATGCTTTAGGGCTGGATAAACAAATTTATTTTGCTTTACCAGGGAGTGCACATGGGTTGAGTTAGGTTAGGTTAGGAATGGTTAGTTTAAGTGTGCAATAGTTAGGGTTATATATTGGTTAGGTTACTTTAGGTAGGGTTATAGTTAGGGTAATTAAGGCTAGGTAGGTTTATTGTTAGGGTTTGACCATGCATACGCTCTTCAAATAGGCAAAAACAGCAACAAATGTATTATTGTGACAGAACAGCGTCACTGATATCGTAACCTCCTAAGTGAGAGTAGAGTAGGACTAACAAGTTTTTGGGTTGGAAACACAATTTTTTTATGACCATTATCGTGTCCGTATCATCAGGGGTTTGTCCTAGGCCCTTTCTTCTGGAACACGGTTTACAAAAGAGGGTAACAGAGGAAGGGAAATCTTGTCGTGCTGGTAGAGGAAGAAACGAAAAAGCGATTACTTTACCAGGATGATGGTTGTAAAGGTTGTAATTTGAATTTGGTGTGCTGAAAGGAAAGAAAATAAGAAGAAAATGTCAAACCATAAACTTAAAACGCACGATCGGAACTGCACCTACATTGTCCTTATAATACAGGTCAAATCATTCAAGCCGAGCATTAAAGATAGTTCGGAAATAAGCAAAAACCTCAGTGCCTCAGAACATCTAATAAGTTTGAGAGAAAAAATAAGATGCACATACGCCAAACTCACCAACATTGCCAACTCAACATGGAGATAATAACCAAAGCCCTATGCACCCTCTATAAAAGTGTTTGCCATTCGATTGCAACTTATGGAGCAGGAGCATGGGTGGTTCTTAACTTGAGAATCAAAAATTTTGGAACCAAGCCAAAGATCGCATTGCTGAGGAAGACCATAAAACGATATCCATATAAACGATATATAAATTCCAAATCTCTGATATCCGTTCTTCTTATAGAGGACTGAGGAGCCATTGGAATGGCTGATCAGATGCTCTTCGGGGGAAGCGAACGGTTTCTGGTCAAATAGTTAAAGGAAAGATGACAAAAAAAGTGAGAAAATATCATTAAAGGCAGGCTAACTTTCCAATACATACTTCCCAATCCAAACTGGATCCTCTTCGATTACTAGTCCAGCCAAACTATGTCAGGGCACTGAAACTTTGCCAGCTATCTGCATAAATTCAAAAGAAAAGACATCCCCCTGTGTACGGAGAGCGGAGTCACAATATCTGCATCTGTAAGAAGTTTGCGAGAGAGCGAGACTTTAAAAAGAGCACTCGAGTAGCTGTCCTCCCACCCTCAAAGATCTAGTCCAAACGACGCAACACTACCAGGCTTAAGACGTTTCCTGTGATAATACTGTGATGGATATTTTATTCGTGTTGATTTATTTTATTAGTAAGTAGTAAGTAAATTACGATAATTTTTAGCATGCCAGGTAGCCGTTTTTTCCACCGGTATGGGGTTTCCCCTATGCACGGCCAATTGAAGGAGGGCAAATAAAAAACATTATCTCGTTAACAGGGAGTGGGCATGGTCTAGGTTAGGTCAGGTTGGTTAGTTAGGGGTAAGGGTTAGGGACGGTTTAAGTTACACAACCATGTGTGTGTTTTTTCTTTATTTTCTTTGGAAATGTGCTAGTGCGAAGCGTTTTTATATAAATAGTACTTACAAATTGATATGAAAGTCACTTAAGCTGAAATGAACTGCGACATTGGAGCAAATGTCAATAAAAATAAAATAAAATAAAGACACTTTAAGTTTCAATAATCGAGAATATAAAATTTAAAGCTGATTTAATATTTGACTTTTTCGTCCTTCGTTGTCCTTCCACAGCAACACATCCGCTCGCAAACTTTACCATATTCAGAGATGATACTCGTGTTGGACAAGCCTTTTTCCTTATTGTGCTATTAAAGAGTAGGGGCAGAACAAATGTCTTTTTGTATAGATTTTGTTCCGCGTTGGCGTCTTTGTAATTTTTTTATTATTCTTATTTTTTTTAAACATCATTCTCCGATGCAACAAGTGAAACATATGGTATATACGTATAAAAAATACCATGAAAACACGAACAGCAACCATCCAGTGATGGAAGCCATTATTACATCAATATGATGAATGGGATGAACTCCATCCAAGGAGACCGATGGCAAGTAGTGAGGTCGTCGAGGGGCGGCCACAGACGCTTCTGTCTCCTGTTAGGATTGTTAGGTGACGTGGTGGATGGCAGGTTTTTGACGATAGGGTTCAGATAATGGGATAGTGTGGAATGGAATCTTTCTTATTTAGCGTTATTATTATGCTTGTTGATTTGGTTTTATTGATCTTGATTCTCCACTGTCGGAGCCAGGATTCGAGGATATGTAAGTAATTTTGGAGATTACGGAAGCTGCGACGGGATCTTTATCGGGAAAAAGGATTAGCATCATCGGTAAAAGTGAGGGTTAGGTTGCGTAGGTAGGTCGGAGGTATAGATTGAGTAAAGCAGAGGAGCAAGGACCCATGCTAGATAGAATGGATAGGAGATAATGAAGTTTTGTGGGTTACTTGGAAGGAACGATCGTTAAGACAGGATCTTAGAGTAAGGTAATAAATAGAATGGTGGTAAGATGTTCTGGAGTTTCCACAATAGGCCAGAGTACCATACTCTTTCAAAGGCTTGGTGTATATCCAAGAAACCACTAGTGCGATATTGTTTTAGCTCAAGGAATGTGGAAATAAGGTCTATTATGCGGTGTGCTTGTTCTACAGTCGAGAGGCAACTTTGAAAGCCGAATTGGTGATAGGGAATTATTTTAGTTGGAATTTCTTTGGGCAGGCAGATCAATGAGAGCTTTTGCAGGATTTCGCCAATAGTGGGCAAAAGGTTGATGGATTGGTAGGAGGTAGGAAGGAGATGAGGTTTTTTAGCTTTTGAGAGCTTTCTGATGGAAGAAAATTTCCAAAGGGCGGGAAAATCCGTTGGACGGCATTGAGACAGGAACCATAAACGTTTAGTTCGGTGTCCGATCATCCTAGTCCTCCAATTATCGCTCTGTCAGACTTCTTTGACCTTTCCCCCATATATAGGAATGAAAATTACATTAGTGACAGGGGAAATAATAAAACAACAAGGCAAGTTCTAAAAATGAATATGGCTTAGATTGGATGGACAAACTTGGAATTGGTAACGTCAAGGTGGAAGAAGACAGGCTTCAAGAACACAACTCAAAACGGACCATATTATAACATCACTCAGAGTAATTATGAATTATACTGTTACAAAAGAAAATTTTTCTTTAGAAACCGTTTGTTTGGTGTTGTGATTATGTCTTCCGTCATGTTTATTTCCTGTGTTGAGAAACACGTTTCAACAATTATAATCTTCGGTGGCGGGTTTACTTCGGAGAATCTCAATAGCGATAGAGACTATGAGAATAAAAAGTCTAGGCCGAGGATACAGCAATAATCAACATTTGATGTAGACCCTTGAAAAACGCCCACCGTTTTTGTTGTGAAATTTTTGCACAGAGTCGTCTATAAAATTGTACGGTTGTGAAAACGTTTAAATTGGGCACGTGAGCAGGTTTATGTGGGGCCTCCACTTGCTGGGTGCTTCCTTAGCCCACGTGTTCTACTCGTCCTTGTTTGGCTGTATAATTCGGCTTCCCTGGCAATGCAATTAAGACTGATCGACCTTTACTTCCTAATTTAATATTTTTCTCTCTTCCAATTTTAAACATTTTACCTTTGAGGTACAGCCTTGGGCTTCGTTATTTTAAACGAGGTTCCGTCCATCTTCGCGTACAGTGTTTATTGTTAGTGTGAAGAAACTTATAGTACTTTGGACTTATAGATATTGCTGATAATCAGAATTTATTATCGACTTGTGATGACAGGCGACTGACACAGAGCAAAGAATTGTATACTCTTGTAAATGCACATTATTATTGTTTTGTAGGTATTTTATTGAGGTCTAATAGCCGATTTTTTACATCCAATGATAAGTTTAGATGAATTAATTAGTACATTACAGGGTGTAAACCTGAACGTCTTTTAGCACATTTTCTTTTGGTAAAAAGGGAGTTTAAAGTTTCAAATATACGCTTAAACAAACAACATTGGGCATTCTGAAAGATTTCAGTGAAAAAATTAAATTTAAACCTCTCTTAAAACCGTTTACATTAGGTGACAAATTTCACAAATCCATACAAAGCTTCAATACAAATTTGAAATGTAATCCCTCCTTTGAGCTTTACGTTATTGAAAAGCGTTTTTC